CATAACATTTCACTCAAAACTCAAAACAAAACATCAATGAATGAATTAATCGCTAGATTTTCATTCATAACATTCACTTCAATACTATTGTTAATACAGACGTATCAATGCTTTACGCTTTCATTCATTAAAACATCAAATATTTTATTACTCATTAAATACGTTACCATTGATACAGGGATTTACACAAATGTCTTGTACTCTACCTTCTCATAGCATTACACCTGAAAACTGGGGGTTCTGTACGCCATATGAATGCCTCCGTTATGTTGTTTGTGAATAGTTATTGACTTCTATAGAAACCAAGTGTTCATATATTATGTCTTTTATTTCAATCAAACCTTAAATGAAATAACATTTGAATTCATAAAATGAACGCAAAATGTATTGACTTTTATGTGACGTTATTATTGGTTTGAAATGATTTTAAGCGCTAAATGTGTTCACAATTTGTTTTGTTTTCAATGAAATAATCGTTTGATTTATTGATTCAACGATTGAATGAATGCATGAAGACATGGAAGCGATGGACGTGGAAGACAGCGACCACAAGAAGATTGCGGACAATAACTCTTCGCTTCCCATTCCCTGGTATTTAGTCTTCAATTTAATGTAATCTTTGATTTAATGATTAATTTAATGCATTGAATGTCAAAACAAAAGGCTTGAAAAGTATCGTCCGATTGAATTCACGGACATTATTGGCAACAAAGAAGTGATCAATAGGTTTGAGATCTTCTCCAATGCGGGAAATATCCCGAACTTTATTCTGTCGGGTCCTCCAGGAGTCGGAAAGACAACCGTAAGTCTTAAGACATTTGTTTACACATTTCATACCTAATGGATGTGTGATTTTGCAGACAATCCTATGTCTGGCCCGCAATCTGTTGGGCGGCAACTATAAGGACGCGGTTCTTGAGCTGAACGCTTCCAACGAGAGGGGCATTGATGTGGTGAGGAATAAGATCAAAATGTTTGCCCAAACGAAAGTGACGTTAGGTTTGGGTAAACACAAGATTATAATTCTGGACGAAGCGGACAGTATGACTGAAGGGGCGCAACAGGCACTCCGCCGCACAATGGAGGTGTACTCCAAGTCCACTCGCTTTGCGTTGGCCTGCAATACCTCCGAGAAGATCATTGAACCGATTCAGTCCAGATGTGCTGTCATTCGGTTTACAAAACTCAATGACAACCAAATCATAACATTTCACTCAAAACTCAAAACAAAACATCAATGAATGAATTAATCGCTAGATTTTCATTCATAACATTCACTTCAATACTATTGTTAATACAGACGTATCAATGCTTTACGCTTTCATTCACTAAAACATCAAATATTTTATCACTCATTAAATACGTTACCATTGAAACAGGGATTCACACAAATGTCTTGTACTCTACCTTCTCATAGCATTACACCTAAAAACCGGGGGTTCTGTACGCCATATAAATGCCTTCGTTATGTTGTTTGTGAATAGTTATTGACTGCTATAGAAACCAAGTGTTCATATATTATGTCTTTTATTCCAATCAAACCTTAAATGAAATAACATTTGAATTCATAAAATGAACGCAAAATGTATTGACTTTTATGTGACGTTATTATTGGTTTGAATTGATTTTAAGCGCTAAATGTGTTCACAATTTGTTTTGTTTTCAATGAAATAATCATTTGATTTATTGATTCAACGATTGAATGAATGCTTGAAGACATGGAAGCGATGGATGTGGAGGACAGCGACCACAAGAAGATTGCGGACAATAACTCTTCGCTTCCCATTCCCTGGTATTTAGTCTTCAATTTAATGTAATCTTGAATTTAATGATTAATTTAATGCATTGAATGTCGAAACAAAAGGCTTGAAAAGTATCGTCCGATTGAATTCACGGACATTATTGGCAACAAAGAAGTGATCAATAGGTTTGAGATCTTCTCCAACGCGGGAAATATCCCGAACTTTATTCTGTCGGGTCCTCCAGGAGTCGGAAAGACAACCGTAAGTCTTCAGACATTTGTCCACACATTTCATACCTAATGGATGTGTGATTTTGCAGACAATCCTATGTCTGGCCCGCAATCTGTTGGGCGGCAACTATAAGGACGCGGTTCTTGAGCTGAACGCTTCCAATGAGAGGGGCATTGATGTGGTGAGGAATAAGATCAAAATGTTTGCCCAAACGAAAGTGACGTTAGGTTTGGGTAAACACAAGATTATAATTCTGGACGAAGCGGACAGTATGACCGAAGGGGCGCAACAGGCACTCAGACGCACAATGGAGGTGTACTCCAAGTCCACTCGCTTTGCGTTGGCCTGCAATACCTCCGAGAAGATCATTGAACCGATTCAGTCCAGATGTGCTGTCATTCGGTTTACAAAACTCAATGACAACCAAATCGGCCACAAATTGAAAGACATTTGCAGGAAAGAGAAACTCGAGTTCAATGACGAGGGCATCGATGCGTTGGTGTTCACAGCGCAGGGAGATATGCGTCAGGCCATCAATAATCTTCAGTCCACTTCCGATGGCTTTGGACTCATTAGCAGTGATAATGTATTCAAAGTGTGTGACGAACCGCACCCTCTCTTCATTAAAGACATGCTTAAGAACTGTTTGGACAACAATTTGGATGAAGCGCTCAAAATAATGAGCAAATTGTATAAAATGGGTTATTCTCCCGAAGATATCATTTCTAATGTGTTTCGAGTGACCAAAAACTACTCATTACCTGAATATTTGAAACTAGAATTCATTAAAGAGATTGGAATAACACATATGCGGATCGCACAGGGAGTCAATTCATTGCTACAGTTGTCCGCATTAGTGGCCAGACTTTGTAAAAAGACATTAAAATGAGAAAATGCATCATTTGTTTATTTTTAATAAAATTCATTTCAAGCGATTATTTGAAATTTGCGGTAAACTTATTGTGTTTTGAGTTTGATTTGAATCTGTTTTGTAAATCTCGGCAAAGGTTTGATTAAATTCAGAGATTGTCGGCGAAGGCAACCAATTATTGTTGGACTCGCAGTCCGTTTCTTTATAATCCATTTTTAAGTTTTTTAACTTATTTTTGAGAATAGCATTCATTTTGAGAGTCTCTCCCAAAGCGAATCTCAATCGTTTCACTTCATTATCTAATCGTTTGATGTGTTCATTCACATCGGGTTTCAATGAACCTATAGTTGAAGCGATATTTGAATCAATCAAATCAAAAACTCAATACATTTACCTCTAATAAATGGCATTAAAATCATGTCTTCTTTGGCCAATGAATGAGGCATTTGTGGTGAAAGCGAACCTTTCATAATGAGCTCATACTGAAGATCTGACAAGTGTTTGAAACATGATTATAGGATTGCATAATAGGACACAAACCTCTGTTCTGAATCCTTAACTCTTCCAACTCGTGATGGAGTGACTCGAGAATGTGCTGACAGTCCTCTTTCACAAACTTAATGTTTGCCTCCAATTGTTTGATTCTCATGTTTTCATCCAAACCGGTGTTCATATGATTATCATTCAACTCATAACTGCCATCAATACTATCCATACTCTGACTGTAGCTATTAGTTAATGATTGGCGACGATTGCCGGGACTATCAAATCTGGCAATTGGTGGAAGTCTTGTTGTGATTTTTTTGTTCGACAAGGATTTGAATCTGATTTGACTGAGAGTGTGGTCAACATTAGACTCTTTGGCGAAAGCGATCCGTGAAGTGAACTGTTGGTGCGGCAGAGGATGTGAATTGAATACATTGGACGCGCTTTCCATTTAAGGAGCCGTTTGAATGGTTAAATTGGGCGATGATTTGTGGCAATAATAGTTGAGGTCGACGGGATTGAGATTGAGGTCAGTGTCACGTTTCACACTAATTATACACCAAATCTCTCTACTGTTTCTATGTGTGAATCTTTGAAACAATATTTCATATATTATTCTTAAATTGTATTTTCAATCAATAGTGTTGTCATAGAAATGATCGAAAGAAAGTGATCGACAAAATCGCTTCTGTCTTTCAGATGACATTTCAAACAAATCGCTATTAATTTCTCGAATGTCTTTCAAATTAATAAACAGATTGACACAAATAAGCACTTCATTCCAAGTTTAGCTAATTTCCCGATTCTTAGGCAAAAATAATGTAACTGTAGTTTCGGCTCAAATGTGTTTGTTTTTAACTAAAGAAATATTTTTTAAGCTCTTAATGAATCCAAAAGTAATATATTATTTTTAAAGATAGATATTTTAAACAATGCAATAATTATAAGAATCGATAACATAATTATTATTATTAATGGTTTTACTTTTATAGTTTTCTACAAAAATAGTAAAACTAAAAACAAGAAAATTAAGTTAAAGTAAATTTTTTATTTAAAAACGAAAGAAAATGTTAAAATTCTTTAAAGATAAATATGGGATTAATTTAAGGTTTTATATAGTTTTTAATATAAATAAAATTAAAGAAGGGATCAACAAATGTATATTTTTTATAAGCGAATACAAGTCTTTATTTAGGTCTCTGTTCATCATATAATATATAATATATATTGATAAATATATACAATTTAATAACTTATGGTACATATTATTAGGTCTTAAGAGTTATGTACAGAAAATCTTAGAATAGTTGTTCATTTGAATCGATGGTAAACTCTAAACAAATTCGCGTTTCATGTAAAGGATGAGATCTATGCAATTAATTCATCAGATTTTCCTTTAATTTATATATAATTAAAATGAATGTCAAAAATAACTGAAATTTACTGAAAAAATGAACATTTTTTGAAACCAAACAAATCTTTAAAAGGATTCGTTTTTGAAAAAATATAATGGATTTATGGTTAGAAATCAAATTGATTTAAAATCTAAGAAATTTTAGTTAAATTAAATTACAAACAAATCTCAACGACATTCCCATACTTTGATCGTATGGTCAACAGAACCGCTCACTACATAAGGAGAGGTCGGATGAAAGTCTGTCAACAAAAGCAAATTGAAATCATTTATGAGAATTAGTATTTCAATGCAATCATATGTAGACATACCTAATGAGGTACAGAAGTGCGAGTGAGCGCTCTCTAATGTTTTGTTCAGTCTTTTATTCAATATATCCCAAACCCTAATGGTTCGGTCGTCGGAACAGCTGACTATAAACTTGCCCCCCGGATGCCAACACAACGCCCGAACCCAGTTGTCGTGCCCTATAAGCGTAAACAAACAAACCCCGACACTCACGTCCCATACTTTAATTGTTTTATCGCGCGAACCGCTGGCCAGAAATGGACCAAAAAGTTTATTATTTCGTTGATTATTGCGCTGAAAGACCGGACAAATGGGACACTCATTAGACAAATTGATTGACAATCAAACCGACAAACACTTACGTCTTCTATCGCTTCATTTAAGGAATTGGAGGCCGAGTCGGGCGCCCACGCGATGCACTCAACGCAATGGTCGTGATCTTTAAGCGTCGCTTTAATGTCTCCGTTGGACACAATGTGTTCATTATTACTGAGCGTCCAAACGATTATCGTCTGTAATGATTAACATAGAAAATACTCGTCAGTTATTTGATGTGAAATGTGTCAAAACAATGAATGCAATCAATTACATGATCTTTAGAACAGGTGGCCATTAAAGCGCCGTCTTTGTGGACGCGAACCATTTTCACCCAATCTCTGTGTCCGGAAAAAGTCTTAATACAGTAACCGGTCATCACTTCCCACATCTTAACAGTTTTATCGCGAGAACACGAGACTAAATGGTCGCCCGCCGGTAGGAAAGTGACGGACGACACGTTGTGGTCGTGTCCGTGAAGTGTCTTAACGCAAAGGTAAGACTGGAAATCCCATATCTTAATAGTCATGTCTGCGGAACACGAGGCGAGAAGTTTGCCGTTGGAATTGAAGGCAATGTCTTGGACTGATCCCGTGTGTGACTTGAGAGTGCGCTCGTAGTCTCCCGTTTCGTAATCCCATATCTTAATAGTCGCGTCCTCTGAGGCCGAGACGAAGCACACAATAAACGGGTGAAATATCACTCGATTGATAGTTTCTCTGTGACCCTGCAGTTCAAACCGCTCCGGAGGTCGAGGTATCCATTCGGTGGGCGACCTCTTGTCACGCATCGGAGCGCCCGATATGTACTCCTTCTCCACATCACGAAGTTTTTCCTCCAATTCCGTGATTTTCTTCACTAATCGTATAACTGATGTCCACTTCTTCTCCAACATTCCTGACTGTGTTTTGTCGATATCATTGGGCTATTGGTTAACGATAGCAATACATTCAGTCATACATTCATACAATCAAAACAAATGTCATTAAAATGGTATCAAAACATTGTTAACCAGTTTTGCCTCCCGTTTGAAGGCATCGAAAGCATCGGAGAAACCGCTTGAATAGAGATAATCTGCGATCGCATTATTCCTATGGGTTTATGAGTGAAAGCATACAATCATTATTGTTTACCATTAAAACCATTACAATCCACATCTCATCGACAAGTATGACAACAAACACAGGGTTTATGTTATAGTAAACTATAATTCAATACTTGAGTACTGGGTTACAGAAAAGTGTAAATGTTTTAAACCATTCAAAGCACACATAACTTATCTATTGATAAACATTTGGTTACCAATTAATAACACATTTAAACTCATATTAATAATCATATGAATGCAAACACAGAGAAAGAGAGAGAAGATTGAAATACAAACATATCATATGAATCGGCATTTGAGCCAAAATATAGTAAATACAGCAATGAATGGGAAAAGTAATGGCAAAGCAATTGATGGCAGACTTACAGCTCTTCGCGCTGTCGTTGAGTTAAAACCATTTTCATCTTTTCATTCAATTATTTCATTTAGTATTCACTCAAACATACAATTAATGCAATCAAACATACATTAAATCACATTTAAAGGCAACACATTTGGGATGTATTCAATGCAATGTATGTATGGTTTGTGTTATTGAGTACTGAATCAGTGCTGAAGCAGTGATTGTATGAATATTTTAGACCAATATATCGTTGAATAACATATCATAACAAGTATTGAGAAAAACAAGTATTAATACAGTATTCAATTCAATGGACAGTCAGTCGACACTTCACTCACTGAACAAAAATGGTTGCCATGAATGACGTCTGTGTCAGCACTTGACCAACAATTACGACCGAAGGGGACACACATTGCGTGCAAACTCACCATCGCTTAGGCATAGAGAGGGTAGAGCTGTGTATAGCTGTGGAGCACATGATTGCTGAGCACTTGTAATGGATGTGTTGAATGTGGTTGAGTGACACACTTTGTAATAGATGGCAGTGAATGGCAGTGAAGGGGAGGCAATGGGAGGACAGAGTTGTCGGTCGATAACTCCCTTCACTGCCAGCACTCCAGCACTCAATGCATGACATGATTCATACAGCGTCCGCCACGGATAAACTACATACCTGGGCGCTGACATTGTCATAACATGTGTGCGTTGCTGAGCAATGCAACACAACATTTGTTTTTTTCAACGGTTTTCCACAAATGTTGTGTTGCAT